AATTCCCCAGCCAGCATGCTGGCTGGGGAATTCTGGGGGTTGAAGTCCACACATCTTAAAGGCTTGGAGATTGACAAACACTGCTCTATATGCACTCTGTGGCCCACAGCAACCTGTCAATTGATCAGAGGTGAGAAATTAGATCTGGTGTAGTAACCAGATCCAAAAGGTAGGACACTGTAGTCCCAGGTAGGCCAACCTGGATGGTTCATCTGCGGGCCACGTACGTCCGCATATTTTGACAGACGGACATCACCCAAGGGGGATTTCCCTTGCTCTTAAAGAAAAGTTGGAGGAATAATTCCTGGAACTAGCCCAGGTTGGCAAACAATGGGTTAAGCCAAGTGTGTTTTCCTTCCTAGAAGGGCCGTAAGGGAAGCTGGGGAAGGGGCTGACACTACTTCCGGGATCTCTCCCCCCCCCACCCCCAGGCGTGAGAAAGTGGCTTTTGTACTCCCCGCAGGTGCAGGATGAGCAGCTGCTGCGACGGGTTGGGTGAGTCTAGGAAGTGGGGAGGGCGAGGATGATGGGGCCTGGGGTCTGAGCTGCAACCATTCAGGATGCTGCAAGGGGGGGACGGGATGGGAGGGGGAGGGGGACCCCCAGTTAAAAAACAAATAATAAAATAAGAGATCCCTGCACATAGAAATCTAGCATGTTGAGGACAAATCTGCCAATATAGTATGAGGTAGGGTTTTGATCCTGAAGCTGAAAAGGATGCTGTGCAAACGCAGAAGGTGCAATAAAAGGCCACCGATGCTATCTGGGGAGGGTGCAGCAATTTACAACAACCGGGCCTAGTAAAACATCGAGCAAGAGGAGTGGCCTCACTGTTCACAAAACCTTGCATGGTGCCCAAAAAGTGCCTCTCCACTGTTTCATGTGCTTTCCTAAGAAATGGGTGCCACGCAGGTGCAAGAGCATCTCTGAGAGCAAATACGCCAGCCAGCCTAGAATTTGCTCTCATTTTTCAGCCATTTCTTTGCCCGTTATCATGATTGATGGTTAAGACTTTTTAAAGCAGCCAGGCCTGGGAGTGAAGGGTTTGAGATTATCAACATGCCCACCCCCGAAATCCATCCCAGCCTTAGGTATGAACAAGGAAATGCTTACATAGGTTCCTAGATACAGAGAAGCCACAGCTTCTGCTATTTAGGGAAAGTTTTTGATTGATGTCCCATCAAGTTGGTGTTGACTCCTAGCAACCACATAATTTTTTTACAGGAGGATCTGTCCCCAGCCCAGTCCTTCAGATATTCCAACAGTGCCACTCTAAATGAGTCCATCCCTCTGGCTGGTCCTCCTCTTCTTCTGGTTCCTTCCACCTTTTCCAGCATCAGAGCTTTCGCCAGAGAGCTGGGTCTTCACATAATGTGTCCGAAGTAGGATAATTTGAGCCTGGTCATTTGTGCCTCAACTGAGAACTCTGATTGACTTGTTTTATGATTTAGGGAAAGTATGGCGGCGGCTGCTGCTGCTTCTTGAATTCATCTGTGGTCAGATCTATTTAGACTCACAGTGGCTTACAAACAGATTAGAAGTGCCATGGCAGCACCCCTAAGGAGCTCTAGGCATAAAAATGGAAATCCGCTATTTAAACTTAAATTTGACCCTTAAAGCTGTAGTATGTGGATCATTTGCACCTTATCAGGGGGTTGTGTGGCTCCTAACTTCGCCGTGCAACAAATACCCACTTTGCCGCTGCTTCGGTCTGGTCCATCCAGTTTCCTCCTCTGTATGATGGTGCACTTGTGGGGGGATGTGCATGCACACATGCAGGTATAAATAAGAGAGAATGTGTCTGTGTCCTCATGACACGCTTAATCAGGTCACTGAAGGACCTAGCAACATGCAAAACTCAGTTAAAACTAATATCAAAACTAAATATACTAAATATAAAACAATACACACACACAAACCTAAATAAAACTAAATATCAGTTAAAAGTAATATTCACTTCCCGCCCCGCCCTGCCCCCCAACTGCTGCAGAGATTTAAGGAAACAATTTGTTGCCTAAAAACAATCCACTCTCTGCATCCACAAAAATGGGGCTGATTTTTCTGTTTGGAAAATAGGTGCAAAGTGGGTGCTTTCTGAGTATACTCAAGTCCAGTGTTCTGTTTCTCAAGTGCCACTGGAGAGTCCATCTGGAAAAGAGAACAAAGTATTGAGGAATCTCCATTTTTGCTTGTAAAAGGCTATGGCATCACAGAGAACAGGCAACATAATGGCTGGGGACATTTCTCCCCTGCCTGACTAGAGGTTAGTTTTAGATTCTTTTGATTGGTTTTAAAATGAGATTAATTAGCTGAGCAGAATGAAAAGGGCCTCTGCCCTGCTGTAAAGTGAAGGCCAGTCTTTGGCATTTTCTTCATTCCACCAAAGGCTTCTGAGCTGCATACTGGCTGTCTTAGAAAATAAACATGGTGAGAGGTTCCAATTCAGGGCACTGAAAACCAAGTTCCTCCTTAAGCAGGTGTTTTGTGTTCAAACTTGCTTATCATGCCAGCCTTTTTTTTTTATACCCACCCAAAACATTCTCTACAAGTTTCAAGGATGATCACTAAGCCAAAAGGTTTGGCCACCCCGGAAGTAGCAGATAATGGGGAAAAAAGCTTTGCTTGTGTTAGCATCACGGTTATCCTGAGACTCAACCTACATTTTCTGAATTCACACGACACAACTGTTGCTCGACCCCATTTTCTGAACCATAAACTGAACAGACTAAACTTGCATGATACGTAAGGATAAAATATGATCGGCAAGTTTGTGGATTGTGCAAGCACAGACATTGACCATCATATTAGCTGAAACTATAACAGAACTAGATGGAACTGATTCCTTATAGACACATTTTATGTATGTATATATGTATGTTTGTTCATCTATGGGGCTGTGAAAATTTAAGAAAATAAAGGTTTCCAAGTTTGAAGTCCCACTTCTTTTTTCCCCCTGCCCATATTAAAAAACCAGTTTATTTTTATTGGAAAATGTAGAAGGTGCTTGAAACAAATTCTTATCTGTTAACTTTGGATCTGCTGAAAATGAATGGGATTCATTTTAAACATCTGTAGCCTAAATCAGTGTTCAGAGGGGAGCAGGAAGACTGCCAGAAGCTTGGGGGGAGGAAAATAGTAAAGCAAAGATAGCTGGGGGGACAGGGGGCAGGGGGAGAGGAAGGTGAATAGATTTGAAAGAGACAAAAATTGTAGGATTCTATTTGTCTGATGGGATTGTGGGTGAAGAAAGGATGAAAAATCTGCCGTGGGAAGGATCTACCTCTAAGGCAGTGTTTCTCAACCTTGACTGGCTGGGGAATTCTGGGAGTTGAAGTCCATACAGCTTAAAGTTGCTAAGGTTCAGAAACACTGCTCTAAGGACAGGTTTGAAGGTTTACCAGGAGAGTTCCCAAAGCAATATGTTATTTTGTAAATGTTGTAAAAATTGCTTCCCCCACCACCACTGGATTCTGGATCTCATGCCCCATATAGAAATTGGGCAGGCTGGTGATGGGAGATTTTCATTCCACTTCTGTTCTTGATGTCCAAAAGGCAAAACTGCTTTCTGCATACTGGGCACAGAAACCACTCAGTCTGACTGAGGAAGTAGCAAAGTGTGCTCTGTTCTGGCTGCATTTGAGTTGCCAAATCTTAATTAGCTCCTTCTGTTTATCCTCCAGAAGGGCTGGCAAAGAAGGGCCAGAACACAGAAATAACAAGGTAACCAGGGGCACCAGTGTAAGCCTGGATTTATATGCAATCCCAGTTGAAACCATACAGCTTCTGAGACTCTGATGGTTTCTGAACAATCTTAAAGGGCAGCCCCACAGAAAGAGAGTGGTAGCAGTCTAGCCTAGCTATAATAGGAATATAAAGTATATGGTTGAGACCCCTGAAAGCATTTCAGCTTTAGGAATACAAATGGTTGTGTTTTTTTTAAAAGCTGTGAATTTTTCAGATTTTTAATTTTTTTTCTGATTAAAATATATTAGCATATTGTTACATTAGCATATTTACCAATTAGCATATTCCTCTCAATAACCATAGCCTGTGCAAGTATTTTGGCTATATTATTTGAGGTGAAGGAAAGAGATTTTTTTTAAGGAAAGCAAACATCATATACTGTAACTTTGAAGCTGACAAACATACCTGAGGTGGAAAAATTATCCACAGAAAATTTGGATCCTGAAAAATTTTCCAGCCCACATCAATAGATTTTTGCTTTCTTTTTCTTGTTGTTTTCTTGGATTCTTTCTGCTTTTTTACACGTTCATGTAAGTCAATGCTGTAGAACAAGGGGTCAGCAAACTATGCCCTGTGGGCCAAATCCAACCTGCCACCTGTTTTTGTATGGCCCGTGAGCTAAGAATGGGCAGGTGGGTGGGTGGCAAATCGCCAGGCCCAAGCCTCAGCTGAGCTCCCAGACAGCACCAGCAGCCTATCAACAGCTTCCTTGCTGACGGGCTGGTGCCGTCCAACAGCTGCCAGACTCCTTGGCCTGCAGACCTGCCAGCCATGCCCACAGAGGTGGGGTGGGATCAGGCCCTTTACGGAAAGGGTTTGCCAACCCTGCTATAGAAAATGAGTCATAGTGCCACAGCCCATTTTGATGACTTCTGTTGAATCATTCTCCGTTCCGCTCGCATGAACCTCTTTGTTTCTCCCTTCCTGACCTAAAAATGCTGCTGTTTCTATTGTAGAAGATGGTCATTGGGAAAATGTGGATGAGGAACAAACTTTGGGGGTATTGCCCCCAAATGCTACAGCTCAGGATGTGGCGGTGACACTTGAGAACCCAGATGAACCAGAAAGGCAGGAAGGAAATCAGATAGAGAAATGGAAGAAAAGCGCCCTCCTTTTTCAAAGCCGAGACTTCCCAGAAATCCAGCAAACAGGAATCACCAGAGAGAGGAAGAACAAATGCTCCGTGTGCGGGAAAACATTCCACGATCACTCCAACCTCAAAAGACATGCAAGGACCCACACGGGGGAGAAACCGTATCGGTGCTTGTATTGTGGGAAGAGTTTCAGTCGGAACACAAACCTGGCGTCACATCACCGGACCCACACGGGGGAGAAGCCATACGTATGCTCATTTTGCAACAAGACTTTCTGCGACAAATCAAGCCTCAATCGCCATCAGAGGATCCACAGCGGGGAGAAGCCCTATGAGTGCGACCAGTGTGGGAAATGCTTTGACCTGAGCCAGTCGCTGATCAGCCACCAAAGGACCCACACGGGGGAGCGGCCCTATCAGTGTCCCGTGTGCGGCAAGACCTTCAACCGGAGTCAAAACCTTCGGAGCCACCAGCGAATCCACACAGGGGAGAAACTGCACAAGTGCACTGAGTGTGGGAAAAGCTTCAGCCGTAGCCAGAATTTGTCGCGGCATCAGAGCAGCCACACCAAGCACCAACTCTACAAGTGCCCTGAGTGTGGGAAGGGCTTCCGTCTCAGCCAGTCCCTCACTAACCACCAGAGGACCCACACAGGGGACAAACCATACAGATGTTCCCAGTGTGGGAAGAGCTTCAGCCTGAGTCAAAACCTTACCAGCCACCAGAGAGTCCACACGGGAGAAAAACTCTACAGATGTTCTGAATGTGGCAAACACTTCAGCTGGAGTCAAGATCTGCTCCGTCACCAGAGAATCCACACTGGGGAGCAACCGTACCGTTGCTCGGAGTGCAGTGAGCGTTTCAACCGGCGGGAGAATCTGATTAGGCACATGAAAATACATCTGGGAGAAACCACGTAGATGGAGGGAAGAGGTTTAGCTGTCACCAGTCCCTCATCAATGCATGAAAAGATGTATTTCCCCCTCCAAATCTGCACATGAAACTGTTTTCCTTTCCTTTCTCCCACATCTTTGAAAAATGTTTTAACTGTATTTTTTGAAAAGGAGCAGCGGGCTAAACGGATCGTGAATTGTCTTTTAAGCTTTTGTGGGGCGATTTGCAACCTGCTAGAGTTAGAATTAAACAAATACCGAAGCCGAGACTGGAAAGACTGTGCAGCCAGTTGGTTATATTGTCTCCTGAAAGGCCTTCCATAAGGAGCGCGTGATCAAATAAAAGACTGAATGGATTCACACATTGCACACCTTGTGATTTCTTGGGTTTAGACTTAGCCAGAGGCATCCGTGGGGGAGTCAGAAAAGTCAAGTTGATATAGAGAGTAAGGAAGATGACCTTGACGGAAATATGCAGGAAATGTAACCTAAACAAAAGGGGCTGAAACATTTTGAAGTCCGGAGCAACAAGATAACGTTCAGAAGCAGCTTGGGCAGACACCTCCCTGTTTCAATGGTATATAAGAAGGTGGGGAGGGATAACTCAGACTTGCGAGATTGTATGATTATGGCCAATCTCAATAAAAGTTGTTTTAGCCTTCCTACGGAGTTGGTTTCCTGGTCTGGTCTACTGAGTGGAGCAGACAGATGGCGGTGGCTGTGACAGCAGGATCACATCCCCATCTCCAATTTTACCTGTGTCTCTGTCTTTGGAACAGCCTCCGCTCACAGAGCCGCGTGGCCCCTACCTTCCCTGCCTTCAAGCATTCTGTACTGAAGTGAGTCTTCCCTCAACACTTGGTTTAAGATGGATGGATGAGGCCCTTTGAGTGGGGGGAGGGATGTGGACGGATGCTTTGTGCTCTGAGACAGTTGGATGCTTTGATATTTTTATGGAATCGTTCTTTTTCTCTGTGAACCCCTCCCTCCCCTGCAGACCCTTCTGGGCTTAGCTCAAAAGCAGAACATTTGGGCCCAGATGCCTGTTTGCAGAGTATTTGGGGACTCTATGTTGGTCTTTCAGTCCAAAGTATTCTTGCCTTTGCACAAAATGGCTGCCACTGTGGGTGTGGCCATGCCCCAAACATCAGCCTACCAGAAGGAAAACTAGCCCTGTGAGATTGCTGTCTACCATCCGAATGGGACCTTCATTGCTCTCAAGAAATGGCGACACCTCAACGGCTAGGTGTTTTGCTTTAATCCCAGCCAGATTCCAACCAATTTATGGATTGATTGACTCTTTTGTTAAAAGAAACCTGTGGGCACCAAGGGAGAGGCCTACCTGGCTAATTGCAACCTAGGTTCGAGAAATTTAGCACACTGTGTGAGTCCAGCCAATCCTGGCTTATTCCGTAAGCGACTGCTAAACCAATCTTGTCTAGTACAGCGCATGAATCGGGCACTGTACATGTTTCATCTGCTGTTTTAAAAGAAATTATTATAAAAAGCACTTGACTCACAAAACTTTGAATCTCTTCCTGATCTCTGATTTTTTTTTTTTTAATTTCATCTTTGTCCCCTCTTTCTTCACAGGAGGTCAGCCTGGGGCACACCTCCTCTCCCCTTACTAGATTTATCTCCCTTCTTTCCTCGCAGAGCTGATAGTATTCCTGCCTCAGTTTTATTCCTGCAACAATCACCTTAGATCAGTGTTGTCCAAACTTGGCCACTTTAAGATGAGTGGACTTCAACTCCCAGAATTCCCCAGCCATTAATTTAAATTGCTTAACTGAATTGCTGGTTTAAACTAGTGTTTTTCAAACTTGGCAACTTTAAGATGTGTGGACTTCAACTCCCAGAATTCCCCAGCCATTAATTTAAATTGCTTAACTGAATTGCTGGTTTAAACTAGTGTTTTTCAAACTTGGCAACTTTAAGATGTGTGGACTTCAACTCCCAGAATTCCTCAGCCAGCATGGGAATTCTGGGAGTTGAAGTCCACACATCTTAAAGTTGCCAAGTTTGAAAAACACTAGTTTAAACCAGCAATTCAGTACAGCAATTTAAATTAATGGCTGGGGAATTCTGGGAGTTGAAGTCCACTCATCTTAAAGTAGCCAAGTTTGGACAACACTGCCTTAGATGTTCCAATAGTAGAGAGTTGAAGTCCACTCATCTTAAAGTGGCCAAGTTTGAAAAACACTAGTTTAAACCAGCAATTCAGTACAGCAATTTAAATTAATGGCTGGGGAATTCTGGGAGTTGAAGTCCACTCATCTTAAAGTAGCCAAGTTTGGACAACACTGCCTTAGATGTTCCAATAGTAGAGAATAGATGTAGCTCAGGGTTCAGCTGTTGGGTTCTTGGTGTTCTCTTGCAGACTTTTCATTACCAGGCTAGGTAACGTCAGTGCAGGGGGGAGTGAGTATGCTACTACATATATATAAACAACAATCTCCACTCTGTCCTGCACTGATGATGCTACCTAGCCTGGTAAGGAAATGTCTGCAGGAGAATAGCCAAGCTCAGAGAACACCAAGAATCCAACATCTAGATGTCTTGGAATAAAACTCCCATTATCCCTACCCAGCATGCTCCTTTGCCTTGGTATTTAGAGCAATGTTTCCCAACCACGGCAATTTCCAGGAGTGTAGACTTCAAATCCCAGAATTCCACAGCTGGCATGGCCGTTGATGAGAGTTCTGGGAGCTGAAGTCCACGTATCTGGAAGTAACCAAGGTTGGAAAACACTGATTTAGAGAGCGTGGGCGGTACAGTTCAATTCATCAGGTGGGCACCAGGTTAGGGAAGGCTGTTATCCAGCCTTCTGGCTGTTAAGAAAAGGAGCCACAGGCCAAAAAGGAAAGAGGAAAACCAACCTATAACTAGGTAAAATTGAAACTCAATAAAAGAGTGGCTAAGAGACCACAGCGGAGGGGCCAATCTGAGCTTATTTCTGCAATTCTACAATCTAGGTCAGTTTCTCAACCTTGGCTACTTTAAGATGTGTGCACTTCAACTCCCAGAACTCCCCAGCCAGCTGTGCTGGCTGGGGAATTCTGGGAGTTGAAGTGCACACATCTGGTTGAGAAACACTGATCTAAATTGTAATCCCATCTGTATTTACTCTCCTATAAGAGCAGAGCACATCCCATTTCTCCCAAGTTGCCTCCACGCTCCTTGATTGCATAAGGTTTAATAAAAACCAGTGCCTCGAAAGAGCCTCAGACATGGGTACCATTTAAATACTTTGGCCTAATAACAGTCCCAAATGCCTATGCTATATAGAGATTATTTTGGCTGCAACATTTTGCACCAGCTGAAGTTTCCAAAGGCATTTCAAGGGCAGCTAATTAAGAGGGCAACTATGTAAGAGCATGGTGAGTAATTTAATCTGAATTAGGCATGTGCAACTGGAGGGAAAAAGGCCTCATCCAATGTCTAGGCCAGTGCTTCTCAACCTCAACAGCTTTAAGACATGTGGACTTCAACTCCCAGAATTCCCCATGCTGGCCAGGGAATTCTGGGAGTTGAAGTCCATCTGTCTTAAAGTTGCCAAGGTTGAAGAACCCTGGCAAAAAGGACCAGGCTCAAATTATCCTATTTCGGACACATTCTGCAAAGACCCAGCTCTCTAGAGAAGGCTCTGATGCTGGGAAAGGTGGAAGGAAAGAGAAGAAGAGGAGGACCAGCAGCAAGGGGGGTGGACTCGGTTACAGTGGCGATGGGGGCACTGTTGGAAGACCTGAAAGACCAGGTTGGAGACAGAATGTGGTTGCTAAGAATCGACAACAACTTATTTCATTTATTTATTTCATTAAATGTATTAAAGCCGCCCATTCCAGCAGACTGGGCAGCTTACAAAATATAACACTTAAATTAAAACAATTCAAAGCATAGACAAAACAAAACAGCCTGGATTAGGGGTGCCATCTGTATCTCAGGGGTGATGCTGTTCCAGACTCAATGGCCCATAATCAATACAGAGCAGTGTTTCTCAACCACATGCCAGCTGGGGAATTCTGGGAGTTGAAGTCCATGCGTCTTGAAGTGGCTGAGGTTGAGAAACACCGATTTAAAGCACTTGTTACTTCAGCAGTCCAGCTATGCTAACTTACTTAACTCTGCTTACTTCCAGACTCCTTGAGGTCCAAACACTGATCACTCCCAGCAGTTGTGAGCGAAGAGTGTTGGTGAGTTTTTTCCCCATGTGCCTTGATTAGTTCCAAAGCAACTCTTGCTTCTAGACCAGTGTTTCTCAACCTTAGCCACTTTAAGATATGTGGACTTCAACTCCCAGAATTCCATGCTGGCTGGGGAATTCTGGGAGTTGAAGTCCACATA